GCTGGGTGGATAGCCTGTATGGGTAAGAAGAAACCAGAAAGATTTAAGAGGGAAATAAGTGGGGAGACAACAAAGGCAATTAGCAAAACATGAAAAAATATGCGAAGACAGCCAAATATATTTGCAATAATATGATTAAGAGTAGGAAATGTATACGTCGAGGGGCAGTTGCAACCTCAAGAGACTGACGACAGCTGAAATAGGCTAGTGGCAAAAAATGACTTTATTTTATCTTACCACGATGTATTACGAATTGCGAAAGCGAAGCGGTATTCTTGTACGCATTTCGGCCATGCACCAAAAGCAGTCTGGTGATATGACGGAATTGTACGAGGCTGAAATCGGACGCCAAACTAGCCTGCCGTCCCTCCTTTCCGACAAGGCCAAGACCAATATCTGCTGACTGAATCATTCCAACATCGTTGCCTCCATCGCCAATTGCAGCGACCACTCGACCAGAGTAGCGACGCATCAAGCGCACAATAGCCGCCTTCTGGGTTGGCGAACAGCGGCAGACAACCACTGCAGGTGACTGTCGCGCCAAATCGATGAACTCCTGTTCATAGTAGCGGAGGCAGATCTATAAAGAGGAAATTTGTAGATTACTGGTAATGCTATTATCAAGTAAATTTTGATTTCAATGTATGATAGTAGGCGATTAAGGCCTATCTGAATTGCCATTTACTATCCGATGAGTGAGCGCCATGAGTGTTGCAAGCTTAAGGAGAAAAATGATAGATGCGAGTGCTATAATGAATCGTATGGGAGGAAGAAAGAAATGAATAAAAGGCCGGTTCCACCACTGTCCTTGGGCTGTAATGTAATTGCATCTGATCGACATTAATGGACAATATTACAATTATTAGCATGAAAAGCATATGCCTCATTTGCTAAGGTCAATTTTACCAATACACATTCACTAATGGTTAAGTCCAATAAAGATAGGAAACATAAAAGTTGCTTGACCTTGTTTTAGAAACTTGGTCATATTAGTAGTAAGACTTAGAGGAACGCATCTAATCCGCAGTCCATTGTATGCATGATCATTTCCAAAGTCGGACCGTGGATGTGGTACATTCCTAGACGTTTCGCCGGCATCGCCATTGAATCTTGCCATTCTTAGCACAACATGACAACTCGTCAAAGAGACAATTGAAGCCGAACCTCTAACGAAATGTGTGCTGAACAGTTATGGTATCTCTCCTTCCGTCCTAGGCTATTTACCTATCCTATATCCTAGTATCACGCCTTCACTATCATAATTGTTTCCTTGCTTATTTAAATCTAATGTAGTGTACCCTTTTTACCGGCTCTCATAAGAACCCTCCATATTCCACGCAGGCGTTCTCACTTATCTTCACCCTTGCGCCGGAAATGTTGATCAGAGTCTGCCATATTATTATGCAGTCCTCCCTCTCTAGGTCTTATCAGAGTCTCCCACTTGCCCCGTATAATCCGTCTGCTATCTCCCTGGTTCAAGTATTTCACTCGACACCTGCCACCCTATCTGTGCTATTCTAGGCGTTATTACCCATCTCCTGCGTCCAGGTGACTAATTTGAAACTAAAGCCTCTGAGTAAGTCTCATGGTCAAGCTTTTGCTACATGGACAACGTCTATGGTAAAACAGGCCTACTATCGGCCAATTAGCTATAGTCTCCGCTGCGTCTGTCCTGGTTCTATAGGTAATAACAAGTCTATGATTTCCTATGCCTTAGTCTCTTGTGTGCCAACCCACAAATGTTGTGGTACTGCTTGCTTTGATTAGGGGAAAGAGGAAGACTCTGATAAGACCTAGGAAAGGAGGACTGCGTAACAATATGGCAGACGCTGATCAACTTTCCCAGCATAAGAGTGAAGGGGTTAAGAACGCTAGCTTGGAGTGTGGAGGGCTTTCATGAAAGCCGCTAAAAAGGGCACACCACGCCAGATTTAAATAAGTAAAGAAAAATTGTAATACTGAAGGCGTGATACTAGGATATAGGATAGGTCAATAGCCCAGGACAGGAGAGATACTACAATTGTTTAACACACATTTACTCAAAGGATCGGCTTCACTTGTCTCTTTGACGAGTCATCGTGTGGTGCTAAGACTGGCAAGACTTACTAACGATGCTGGCGAAACTTCTGGAAATGTAGCAAGTCCACAGTCCAACTTCGGCAATTATCATGCATATACTGGACTCCGGGCTAGATGCGATCCTCTAAGTCTTCCTACCAATATGACCAATTTGCGCAAACAAGGTCAAACAACTTCTATACAACGAAAAATAAACTGCGACCCCAATATCTTGGTT